TTCGCCTCATTAAGATAATTCCCCAAAAGCTCATATTTTCTCAGTTTTGTATCGGAAATATAAACAAAGAAATTTTTAAAGAACTAATGAATGCATATTTAATCTCACATTTTTATTAATTCTCCTAGAAAGTGGGACGCAGGTTTGATTGCTGGCGGAAAGCACATATTCTTTATTGAGATTTCTTGACTGGCTCAAAAGACTGGTTTTCCTGATAGAAAAAAAGGATGCAAGTTCGATTCCTGTTGATGGCATATTCATTTTTTTAGTAGGACTTATCCATTTATTAATTTCACAGTTTAATAAAACTTCACTGTTTAATAAAAAGCAAGCTCAGCAACTCAAACACGTGCACACAGTAAAAATAAAAGTTTATAGTAATAAGAAATGGATAAAAAATCCTTTCAAATATAATATATATATATATTTATATATATATATATAAGATTTCTCAAATACGACAGGGATTTCGCTTAAAGGCACAGTTAATGCCTTACTTGATTGGCAAAGCTTCTTCTTGGCAGAGTTGGTTAAAATATGTCGGATCTAACGATTCAAATCTTGCATATTTTTCTTTAATAAGATTACTAGATTATTCAGTCCAAGAGAACAATATATATATATATATATATATATATATATACAAACTTTCGGGAATCACTATTAAACCCACTGTCTGAAGAAATCTTACAGGTGGAAACCGTAGTAGCCTGAGTGGTTAGTATTCCTTGACATTGATATTCGGTTTTTCTTTTTTTCCATTGTCTATTGAGCACTCTTTCCTATAACCGTTTTCAGGACAAATCTAACTTTGAACAAAAAACTGTTTTATATATAGTTTTTTTTTTGTATATATATATAAATGTGTGTATTGCGGTGAGTTGATGGATATATATTGACGCTTCCCTGTAAGTCAATGTGGCAAACTTGTCTCACAAAGCGAAAGATAGATAGATAGATAGATAGATAGATAGATAGATAGATAGATAGATAGATAGATCCAAAACAACACTTGAGGATGAAACTGCCACCCAGTGGTTAAGGTTTAATATTGGAATTAAACTTAAATACTGCTGACCAGTTTTGACATAGTAATTTTTGTGTCGCGATGTAATCATATTTTTAACAAAAATATAATTATAATCTAGGTTCCACTTGTGTATTGAGCACTGTTTTTTAAAAATAAAATGAAAAATACTAAAGAACTTCGGATCATCTAACAGTTCTTTCCTATATCAATAAACACACACACACACACATATATAGATGGATAGATAGATAATGTGTGCCTATTTGTGTGTGCGAAATAGACTATTAAAAGTGTTCGTGTTGCATTAATGAGACGAAATTCACACACAAATGTTATCGTTTATGCCAGTAAGAGACGCTAAACGTTAAATGACCTCAGACATCCCCTCTAATTCACCAATATATATATATATATATATATATATATATATATATATATATATATATATATATATATATGTATATGTATGTATGTATGTATCCGTTTTATGTTCGTGGCTTGCCACATGCCTATATTCTCGCCGAAATAATCAACTAAGAGGCATTTGTTAAATTCCCTCACCCAGGAGATGAAATTGTTTAAACCACTGTTCTGACGAGGTGAATGTATACATTTATATTGGAAACAAACTTCAACAAAATGTAAACATTTCACACAGCTCTGTTCAACTCGAAAGTCATGACAAAAGTATGAAAAGATTTCAGTAAACAAGGAAAACAGAGATCGAACATTTTTCAATAATGAATATTAAATATTTTTTACAATCATGAATATTCAATATATGTGGCTCTCAATAAAATAAATTGGGAAAAGGGGAAAAGACACTGCAAATATAAACCTACCTATATTCGGACTCATATATAAACGACTAATATTTACCTATCACCGAACTAATTAAATAAGCAGTCTGAAATATAAACAACCAGTACATACCTGTAATTTAACTACGTAGATGCTTACTAACTCAAATATAAATGACACATATTCATCCATTCCTGATTGAAGTAACTGCGTACAGACAAAGAATATAAACGGCCAATATCTACTTATCCATGAAGCAGGTAAATGCTTTCTCACTCAAATATAAACGATCAATATCAACCTATCCCTAAACGAAGTAAAATGCTTTTTTCACTCAAATATAAACGGCCAATATCTACCTATTTATGAACCAACGAAATGCTTCCTTCACTCAAATATAAATGACAATTTTCTACCTATTTCTGAACCAAGGAAATGCTTTCTACACTCAAATATAATCAACCAATATCTACCTATCCCTGAACCAACGAAATGCTTTCTTCACTCACATATAAACCACAAATATATACCTATTTAAGAACCTAGGAAATGCTTTCTACACTCAAATATAAACCACAAATATATACCTATTAAAGAAACTAGAAAATGCTTTCTTCACTCAAATATAAACAACCAATATATACCTATTTATGAACAAACGAAATGATTTCTTCACTCAAATATAAATGACCAATATCTACCTAAATCTGAAACAAAGGAAATGCGTTCTCACTCAAATATAAACGACAAATTATGCAATTATAATGCAATTAAATGTGACTCAAATATAAGTGGCCAATGTTCATCCAATACCACTTGAAGTAACGGCGTACAGTCAAAGCATATAAATGACCAATATCTGCATATATCTGAATCAAGGACCAATATTCAGCAATCTATGAAACAAGGAAATGCTTTATCAGTCAAACATAAACGACCAATATCTACCGATTTCTGAAACAATCAATTGCCTTCTCACTCGAATATAAACGGCCAATATTTAACAAATTCTGAACTAAATATATAGGGGGCTAATATTGACCTATCCTGAAACAATTAAATGATTTTTCATTCAAAAATATACGGCCAATATCTACCTATCTTTAAACAAAGTAAATGCTTTCTTCACTCAAATACAAACGACCAGTATCTACCTATTTCTGATCCAACGAAATGCTTTCTTCAAGATAAACGAAGAATACCTACCTATTTCTGAACCAATGAAATGCTTTCTTCCCTCAGATATAAAGTACCAATATCTGCATATTTCTGAACGAAGGAAATGCTTTCTTCACTCAAGTATAAATGACAAATATCTACGTATTTCTGAACCAACGAAATGCTTTCTTCACTCAAATATAAATGACCTATATCTACGTATTTCTGAACCAAGGAAATGCATTCTTCACTCAAATATAAATGACCAATATCTACGTATTTCTGAACCAAGGAAATGCATTCTTCACTCAAATATAAATGACCAATATCTATGTATTTTTTTAGCAAAGGTAATGCTTTCTTCACTAAAATATAAATGAACAATATCTACGTATTTCTTAACCAACGAAATGCTTTCTTCACTCAAATATAAATGACCAATATCTACGTATTTCTGAACTAACGAAATGCTTTCTTCACTAAAATATAAATGACCAATATCTACCTATTTCTGAACCAAGGAAATGCATTCTTCACTCAAATATAAATGACCAATATCTACGTATCTCTGAACTAACAAAATGCTTTCTTCACTCAAATATAAATGACCAATATCAACGTATTTCTGAACCAAGGAAATGCATTCTTCACTCAAATATAAATGACCAATATCTACGTATTTCTGAACCAACGAAATGCTTTCTTCACTCAAATATAAATGACCAATATCTACGTATTTCTGAATCAAGGAAATGCATTCTTCACTCAAATATAAATGACCAATATCTACCTATTTCTGAACCAAGGAAATGCATTCTTCACTCAAATATAAATGACCAATATCTACGTATTTCTTAACCAACGAAATGCTTTCTCTACTCAAATATAAATGACCAATATCTACGTATCTCTGAACCAACGAAATGCTTTCTCTACTCAAATATAAATGACCAATATCTACGTATCTCTGAACCAAGGAAATGCATTCTTTACTCAAATAGAAATGACCAATATCTACGTATATTTGAGCCAAGGAAATGCTTTCTTCACTCAAATATAAATGAACAATATCTACGTATTTCTTAACCAACGAAATGCTTTCTTCACTCAAATATAAATGACCAATATCTACGTATTTCTGAACTAACGAAATGCTTTCTTCACTAAAATATAAATGACCAATATCTACCTATTTCTGAACCAGGGAAATGCATTCTTCACTCAAATATAAATGACCAATATCTACGTATCTCTGAACTAACAAAATGCTTTCTTCACTCAAATATAAATGACCAATATCTACGTATTTCTGAACCAAGGAAATGCATTCTTCACTCAAATATAAATGACCAATATCTACGTATTTCTGAACCAACGAAATGCTTTCTTCACTCAAATATAAATGACCAATATCTACGTATTTCTGAATTAAGGAAATGCATTCTTCACTCAAATATAAATGACCAATATCTACCTATTTCTGAACCAAGGAAATGCATTCTTCACTCAAATATAAATGACCAATATCTACGTATTTCTTAACCAACGAAATGCTTTCTCCACTCAAATATAAATGACCAATATCTACGTATCTCTGAACCAAGGAAATGCATTCTTTACTCAAATATAAATGACCAATATCTACGTATTTCTGAACCAAGGAAATGCATTCTTCACTCAAATATAAATGACCAATATCTACGTATTTATGAACCAACGAAATGCTTTCTTCACTCAAATATAAATGACCAATATCTACGTATTTCTGAATCAAGGAAATGCATTCTTCACTCAAATATAAATGACCAATATCTACCTATTTCTGAACCAAGGAAATGCATTCTTCACTCAAATATAAATGACCAATATCTACGTATTTCTTAACCAACGAAATGCTTTCTCCACTCAAATATAAATGACCAATATCTACGTATCTCTGAACCAAGGAAATGCATTCTTTACTCAAATATAAATGACAATATCTACGTATATTTGAGCCAAGGAAATGCTTTCTTCACTCAAATATAAATGAACAATATCTACGTATTTCTTAACCAACGAAATGCTTTCTTCACTCAAATATAAATGACCAATATCTACGTATTTCTGAACTAACGAAATGCTTTCTTCACTCAAATATAAATGACCAATATCTACGTATTTCTGAACCAACGAAATGCTTTCTTCACTCAAATATAAATGACCAATATCTACGTATTTCTGAATCAAGGAAATGCATTCTTCACTCAAATATAAATGACCAATATCTACCTATTTCTGAACCAAGGAAGTGCATTCTTCACTCAAATATAAATGACCAATATCTACGTATTTCTTAACCAACGAAATGCTTTCTCCACTCAAATATAAATGACCAATATCTACGTATCTCTGAACCAAGGAAATGCATTCTTTACTCAAATATAAATGACCAATATCTACGTATATTTGAGCCAAGGAAAATCTTTTCTTCACTCAAATATAAATGACCAATATCTACGTATTTCTTAACCAAAGAAATGCTTTCTTCACTCAAATATAAATGACCAATATCTACGTATTTCTGAAACAAAGAAATGCTTTCTTCACTAAAATATAAATGACCAATATCAACCTATTTCTGAACCAAGGAAATGCATTCTTCACTCAAATATAAATGACCAATATCTACGTATTTCTGTACCAACGAAATGCTTTCTTCACTCAAATATTTATGACCAATATCTACGTATTTCTGAACCAGGAAAATGCTTTCTTCACTCAAATATAAATGACCAATATCTACGTATTTCTGAACCAAGGAAATGCATTCTTCACTCAAATATAAATGACCAATATCTACGTATTTATGAACCAACGAAATGCTTTCTTGACTAAAATATAAATGACCAATATCTACGTATTTCTGAACAAAGGAAATACATTATTCACTCAAATATAAATGTCCAATATCTACGTATTTCTGAACCAAGGAAATGCATTCTTCACTCAAATATAAATGACCAATATCTACGTATTTCTGAACCAAGGAAATGCTTTCTTCACTCAAATATAAATTACCAATATCTACGTACTTCTGAACTAACGAAATGCTTTCTTCACTCAAATATAAATGACCAATATCTACGTATTTCTGAACCAAGGAAATGCATTCTTCACTTAAATATAAATGACCAATATCTACGTATTTCTGAACCAATGAAGTGCTTTCATCACTCAAATATAAAAGACCAATATCTACGTATTTCTGAATCAAGGAAATGCATTCTTCACTCAAATATAAATGACCAATATCTACGTATTTCTGAAACAAGGAAATGCTTTCTTCACTCAAATATAAATGACCAGTATCTACGTATTTCTGAACCAAGGAAATGCTTTCTTCACTCAAATATAAATGACCAATATCTACGTATTTCTGAA